CTCTCCCTCGCTCTCTCTCTCTCACTCTCTCTCTATTTCTTTGTTTCCAAATCTAATCTGCTTAATATAAATGCTCTATATTATCTCAAGTATGTAGCTTCTATATGGTATCAACTGGGAACCATTTCATAATATATTACATATATATGTATTATACAATATAACAATTAGTTTCCTGCCCAAAATAAAATGACATTTTTAGAAAACGCTGCAAAGCCAAATCAAGTCCCAAGAGAACTGCAATAATATATACCTCTATAAAATATAAATATAAGCAAATACTGTGCTTCGATAAGAAAAGCTATTTAAATTTATATATTGCTTTATGGACTGATAGAGTTTATACAATAGCCAAATTTTCTATAATTTCTATTTCAGTTTGAGCTATACTTCAGTAGAGTCTATAATAATAGATAGAATAAAGATGTTTAGATTTTTTTATATACATACACACGTCTATAAGCCTATAAAATATATTTTAATATAATTTGTATATGACATACTGAACTGAACTATTCATTTCATAAATAATATTCTCTACATTCCAGTTTTTTGAATGATATCGAAGCAGCCAATATAAAAATTTAGACTAATACTTTATGGAAGTCTATTGAAGCCAACATAATGGAAATTGATAGATCTTGCTCTAAATGTCTTTATAGCACAATCTATGCTCAGATGTCCACCCAGTTAAGCAACCCAAGCTCTGATCCACTTAACGATTTTTGTTGTTTTGATTCGTTTATAGATATGCTAATGATTAATCATACTTGAGCCCATTATCCGGTCAAATATTTAACATAAATATTTTTAAATTAATCACGCCCACTATAAATCGCACGTTCATAAATCCATTAGATATGAATGTAGGCGACGTGGGCGTGGCAACGATGCGTCTAGTTTAGCATAAATCAAATCAACGCCTCGCGAACGACTCAATTTGCGCGAATCTCGACTCGTCTTCCTTCATGTCTTCTTCGACGCGATTTCGATTTCGACTCAACTCGAATATCGCACTAGCTCACAAACAAGTAAGAAGGCTCCAGTCTAGACTGCTCGACTAGAAGATACCCTGAGCCCCCAAGCTGATATTCTACTCATTCTGCACTTATAATCACGCGCTCTGCTAAAAGTGTTAAAATTAGGCTGAAAAAACAAAATCAATTTTTCRATTATTCTCGATAAAAAAGTTATCGAGCAAGTTATCGACAAAATATTGTAAATTTGTACTGCGTATGGTATATACGAGTATGCATGCCAAATTTCAGCTCTCTAGCTCTCATATCTTCTGAGATCGGCTTGCTAATACGGACGGAAAGACGGACAGGGCTAAATGGACTCAGCTTGTCATCCTGATCAAGAATATATATTCTTTACGGGGTCTGCGATGCTTCCTTCTGCCTTTTACATACTTTTCACAAAACCATTATACCCTGATTTCAATGGGTTCAGGGTATAAAAAAAAAAATGAGAGAGGCAAAGCCCATGCATAAATATTTTTGTATACGATGATTATATTTAGATTTAGGAATCATTTAATGCTATTGCTAATTGTATTTATTTACATTTATATGGCAACGGAAAAGAGGACTTGGAAAAGAGGACTTGAAGCTTGTTGAGATGTCTCTAATGCATTCATGTTGCATATAATTCTAAGCAAGCTCTATAAATGGATCGATAATATTATTTAATTACAATCATGTGGAGTACCGGAATCAAGGTCGTGATATCTCGACTACTATAACAGTTTACTTTATGCTAAACAACGCTTATTCAATTCTGACTAATACCATGCAAAATTAAACCTATATTTTTTAGAACTCCAACTTCGTTGAATCTGGCAACAGTTTGATTTATAGCTGAGAACCTGAGATCAGCTTGATCTTGAGTTGAGCGAATTGGAAATTAGACTCACAGTACTCAGGAATTATTATATACATATTAGCAATTTGCGCCATAGATAGATTTTTACTAAAGGCTTATACATATAATATGCTTCTTCTTATAGCAA